TATTTTAGGTTGTAAGCAGCTGATGAGAACCTAACGAAATAAAATGAATTCATATTATTCTGCACCAATCTTCGTTCTTACTCTCTTTAAAATAATAAAGGGAACTATGTGTATAAATTGTAGTAATCTATTATCATAATTCAACTATACTATATTGTTTATCATTTATATTTAACTTGGCGTTTTTCAGACAGCAATAATCATATAAATAAATTATTATATTTATAATATTCCAATGAGTAGAAAAATTAAACTTTCTGATGTTTCATGAGTCGGTGTAAGCTGCTTCTTCAGAGAATAAATAACCAAATCAAAATTAATCCAAGTTTAAATAATACAAAAGAACAACGCAAAAATATTAATTTTTCTACTCATTGGAATATCTTCAAATATAATAACTTATTTATAACAATCTCAGAAGGGGTTTTGTGGTGATTCTTGTAATTTTAATAGTTGAATTCATGAGTCAATTGAAACTAGACCACCGTGGAAAACCTGAAAGCATTGGACGTCCGTTTCATTTTATTGTGGGACTCCTCAGCAATGTGCATCTAACAATCTAATCAATACTTAATATGTTTAAAATTATCAGATCAAACTTTGATAATGATACCAACAATAATTATAGTTTATTAATATAATTGTAAATTAATTCAAACTACATAAAACATGAATTATATTATGATTTTATAATGAAATTTTGATTAATCAACTAACCGATTATGTTCAATAATGCATTCTTCATTAAATTCGATATCTAAATCGCTTGGCATATTGAGTGTACAAGTTGATTTAGTAACTAACTAACTAACTAAATAAATAAATACCCTTTGTAGCAATTAATTTAATGAAGATATTTCTAATAGAAATTAAATTTATATCCTGTTGATTTTTAAATATCTAAGAACAAACAAACAAACAAACAAAAAAAAAAGAAAAGAAAAGAAAAAGAAACGGACAAATACAATTGGTTTATATTAATGTAATTGAGTAAACTTATGTAATTGATTCTTAATTATAGTCATTTATTGAAAAATAATTTAAAAAAAAAAGATTGAAGGTCGTTTGACACTATTCAAATTTTGCCAATCATATTTCCATATACAAAATGTACTTCTGATTGTTTAGAGAGAGGAAATGAATAATGTATTGTTATTATTATTATTATTATTATTACTAGTCAAGCTCAATATTGTTATAATAATTTGTACTATCCTATTATTGTCAGATACAGTACTTAATTAGTCATTTTTAAATATATTAATGAGTTTATTTTATAATTGTCCCAATAATTCTCTTGGTCGTAGCTTGGTTGCCAGTTATATAAGAAAAAAAAACACAACTTGGAACAGATTTGCATCAATTCAAGTTTTTACACCATATTAGTAAACTGATGTAAAATCATTATGACGAATTTCAGTTTAATCAAAGTAATAATAGCATCACTCGAAGTAGTGGTGGTAGTAGTAGTAGAGATTAGATATAGGAAAAAGAAAACAAGCATAGGAGGATTTTGGAACTTAATATCTAAAGGAGGACAAAGACTGAATGTACCTGAACTATTGTGAATGAATCTAAGCCATATTACTTCATGTGTTTCATTACTGGTTACGCTAATTGTACAGACAATAACATGATAGTTTATACATACCAACAGGGCTCAATACTACAGTTTCTGGATTCATGGACTGGCCCTATATCTTAGTTTCCAGCCCCTATATTTCTTACAACCTACTTGTCCTCTAACAAATTTCGCCGGTCGAGATAGGCGATGTTTGGGCTTATATAATACATGTCTCAATCATACCAATTTGTGAGGATTCACTATCTCATCAACCAATTTGCCATTGTTACTTAGTTTCACACACCTAATATCAACATAGCTTATTCAGTGGTCTCGAAATACGTGAGCAATGATTCAGAGACACTTATCATCGAATACTGGTAACTTATGAATATTCTCATTCCTTAATGACCGTGTTTTATACACATAAATTAGAACATAGTTAACTGCTATACGGTAGAATCATCCCTTGGTTAACAAACAGACAGTTTGCCTACACTACAAGTGATGTAAATTAATAGTTGGCAGTCTATCTTTCTGAATCCATCTCAAGATTTCGTTAACCAACAGTCCACTAGATCTGATATGACTTCTATGACAAGTGATGTGTTATTTTATTGGGAATAAAAATTTACTTGACTGTAAATGAATTTAACTAACAAATTCTAAAAGAATGAAATTCATATTCTGAATTACAGTCCCAATAAAAATGAATTATAAACAATATATAATACACACTCTATTAAAATTATTTTGAATATAGTTGGTTGCCATGGCAAGTTTTATTTTTTTATTTTTTATTTAAGGATAAATATTCTATTTAAAGATGGGAAACAATCAATTTATTATATTTTATGATCTATGTAATCATTTATTTACTATAAGGGAAATAATAATAATAATAATAATAATAATAATAATAATAATAAGAAATAATCGGCAAATATAATAAAATAACGAAATTCATAATGAAATCAACACATTACCATAAAAGTAAACAGTTAAAATAATCCAAAAATGATAAACTCAATAAGAGAACTTATTGAATTCTCAATTTATATTCATTCTTTAAATAATCAGCTTATTGTTGAATAATGAATAGGCTTAGAACAAATTAACATAACTGTATGAAATAATAAATTATATAACTTTAAGTAGAAAATACTATTTTTCATATTATCATAGCATCAACCAATGTAATCTCAATTATTCTTATACATAATGAATCTTTGTTTTGTTTGTTTTTTTTTTTACTCTACTGTTTCTAATTAACCTCTATTTGAATTGATAATAATGTATCTGATTGGATAGTTAATAAGATGATGAAGTG